GAGAGGGACAGGATTAAGGCTTACCTTGAAAAACTCAGCTTCTATTATAATATTTTAAATGTGGTTTTTTGTGTTTTTCATTGCGTTTTAACAGGGTATGCCATGAGAATGCATATTAAGAAGGGATTTTTTAAAATTCCCATCGTGGGGGTGAGAAAGAGGGTTAAGAATTATCTTGAAGAACTGGGCTTATTTTAGATGCCTTTTTTGCATTTATGTGGGAAATCGAACATATTTTTAGACCCTTCTAAAAATTCTCAACGATATTTAGTGTTCTATCATAAATAAAGTTGACACAGTGAGTGCATGTATATAAGTTTGCTTTATTCGAACTCTTCATCTTAATGTTCGATTTCCAGAATCATTCATTTATATTTATGAATGATGATAAATATAAATGAATGATTCATATAAATGAATCATTCATTTATATTTATGAATGATTCTGGAAGATTCAGCTTATTTTTCAAATTTAGTAAACCTGAAGAAGAACCCAGAAATAGTTGCAAAAACGTTTATTATTTATTACTTAGTGTTACTATGCACTGGTTAGTGGTTGCAGTGAGTCTTATTTATCATTATCCCAGTGTGATAAGCAGATATCTAAAAATTCTCTAATTAGTCTCAGAAGAGGGGTGACCTAATTCTTGCACTTGGTGAAAACAGGTAAGAGCATCTATAATCTAATAACTTCAATCATTACCTTTTGTCCGAGCAACACCAGGCTCATCTGCTAGTTTAAAATAATTCTATAATTTTATAATGTATTAGTTAAAATGTACTACAGTATGTTAATAGTAACATCATATCAACTAATCCAAAATATTTAATATGAGCCAAGCAGTCTGCCAGATTTTTTCAGGCTAATATGATTAATTTTAATAATTATATATAAAGTAATTTGACAAGTAGGCAGAGGCTTGCCATCTCATGATACATTTAATAATTAATTAATTTTAATTTTAATTTGGAATGCTTTGGAAGAAAAGAACATTCTCAAATTACTTTTTATACATTTATTAAAATTAGTCATATTATAGCCCGAAAAAATCTGAAGATCATTTGGCTTATATAGTAATACCTTGGTTTTCGTTGACTTCGGTTATTGTCAGTTTCAGGTTTCATAGATTTTTTTCGCGAAAAATTTGCTTCAGTTTTCATCAGTTTTCTCAGATTATGTTGGTGTGCCCATGTGACCTCATTGCTAATTTTGTGAAAACAAATGGCAACCCACGTGTTTCCTGCTAAGTTTGGCCTTGTTTCTCATTGTGTGAACATTACTCTGTGTGTCTAGCCAAACAATTCCTCTATGATAGCAGGATGGCCAAGTAGTCAAGGTGGCAGTCTACCACTCTGAGTTGCCACCTGATCGGTAGACTGCCTAGATCCAGAGTGGTAGGCTGCCATCTTGATTGCTCTGGATTGCCACCTGGCAGCCTACCACTCTGGGTTCCCCAGAGTGGTAGGCTGCCAGGATCAAATGTGGAAAGGGAAAAAATTCCCTAGGAATTTTTTGTGGAGTGGTCCGTCATCACCCAGATGCCCCATTGTGGGCCTTGCTGAACCCATAAGGGGCTTGCTAAAAGAGGCCCTCTTAGTACCCACAGGGCGGAGAGAGTTAAAGCCAAATAATTCCATTGCTTTTCTTTCCTTTTAGCTCCATCATGGGACAAAAGAAAGTTTCCAGAGCCAGCAGCTGTTCAAATGCCATGCTAAATGTTCATTTATTCTTTACATTAGTACTTTATATTTATTTTTATATTAATTTCTTATTGTTTTTAGTATTAAACACTATATTTATTCTCTATAAAATGTGTTTTTGAGATGTATTTTGGAGTGTCTGTAATGAATTAATTGGAATTAATTGGATTCATATGGAAGTAATTGTCTCAGTTTTTCTCAGTTTTGGATTTTGCTGATTCTTTTCTGAGGGATTATTGACGAAAACTGAAATATCACTGTATTAATATACAATTGTTTATTAATAAACATGTATCACATTGTAATTATATATGTGTATATCCAGTGTTGGTATAAAAATTTAAATTTATATCATCTTTACTCTCCGTGAAAAAATTTTTGTTATATACTGTTCAAAATGAAAATAGTAAACACAAAAGTGAACATGTAAACACAAAATTTTATGTCAACATTTCATTGTGCTTATTACATTCAAGTAATAAGAAGAATTGCTATAATTCAATACCAATAGATATAAATTCAGGGTCTTCAAAAAAGAATACAACCATTTTAAATTATATATATATATATATATATGTTACTGTGAATGACTGATATCTGGCAAATGTCAACATTCTCCGGTGAATGTCAGCATACACACAGTCGTTTCATGTATGTACAAAATATTTTCTAAATATCATTATTTCTCACTTACACCGGTAAATGTCGACATTCAGCATGCACTGATGGTGAATGTTGAATAAAAGTATTTTTATTACTTTAAGAAAAAAAATGCAACTTTTTAATATGTCAAAATAGAAGAAAGCTTAAGTAACAGCACATGTAAATAAACTGTTGAATCTAATACGAACAGTACATTCTAAATCATTAAAGAAAATAATACAATAATAAACTTACACATAAATTATGTGATTAACGTTATACAATCATATTTATTGCAACAACTTAAACTGTTATGGCACTTTGAATTGCACAAAAGTCCCTTGCTTTTACAACTGCATTTATTCGTGGAACATTTCTTTTTGCAATGACAGTGTGTATAGCCTTGCCCTCCACTTTTAGAATTAGTTGCAGCTGCTTCTCTCAGTGATATTTCTTGAGAAGATATCTCATCTATGGAAAGTAACTTTTCTTTACAAATTATGAACTCATTACGGGTATAAAGCTGCTTGAGGGTACCATTTTTGTTTGTTAATTTATAAAAGTCAGAGTCTTCTATTCCAACAATAACCGCCAACACATTTTGGGCATCTGTACAGCCACAGTTGACATCAGGGACTTGTATTCGAATGGTATCACCAATTTGAACAGAAGGAAACGGCAAAGAATTTGGCGACAGACTGTTGCGCTCTCTGTCGACATCGGCTTCTCGGGTGTCGTTTCGATCTCCACCAAAGTTTATCTGTGCTTGTCGACATACACCGACGATTGTTCGAATGATTAATAATATAACCAAATATTCGGTCTTTCACCAACGTATTTTGTATGTGTCGACATTCTCTAATTTCGGTCTTTCACAGTAACATATATATATATATATGTTACTGTGAAAGACCAAAAGTAGAGAATTTTTGGTTATATTATTATGCATTCGAACAATCGCCGGTGTATGTTGACAAGCACAGATAAGCTTTGGTGGAGGTCGAAACGACACCCGAGAAGCCAATGTCGATAGAGAGGTGACAGTCTGTCGCCAAATCCTTTGTGGATAGCTGGAAGTAGGACAATGTCGTACCTCTTTTTCCGGCAACGGTTTGGTGGAAATCGCCCACTTTGTCATTGGATGGTGTTTTTGTTCTTTTGATCCTGTGAGGTGGGATCGGTTTGACAGTTCGAGTGGCGGAGGATGAGAGAGGTCGTCAACAAGGCATTGTCGATATCCAAATAAAAGACACCATTAATAGATCAGTTCATAATCACATAATAACGTAATAACGTAATCAGTTCATAATTTGTAAAGTTACTTTTCATAGATGAGATTTCTTCTTAAGAAATATCACTGAGGGAAGCAGCTACAGCTAATTTGAAAAGTGGAGGGTAAGGCTATACAGTAGACCCCCCTATAACACTGTAGATAATTCTGTGTTATATGAATTCCATGTTGTACGAGTCACTTAGATTTTACAAATATGTGAGCCCGTTCACAGCACGGCACACGTATTTGTAAAATCTAAATGACTCGTACAACATGGAATTCATATAACATGGAATTATCTACAGTGTTATAGGGAGGTCTAACTGTACACGCTGTCATTGCAAAAAGAAGTGTTCCACAAATAAATGCAGTTGTAAAAGCAAGGGACTCAAAGTGTCATAACAGTTTAAGTTATTGCAATAAATAAGATTGTACAACGTTAATCACATAATCACTTTCTTCGTAGACTGTATATATCAACAAATAATACAACTCTAAAACCTTTACGATAAAGCCAAATTTATTATCTCAATTCAAACGTTTTCGGACATCTTTAATGCCCTTGAAAAAGGGCATTAAAGATGTCCGAAGGTTGTATCGATGTCCGATGGCTGTATCGTAAAGGTTTTAGAGTTGTATTATTTGTTAATCACATAATTTATGTGTAAGTTTATTATTGTATTATTTTCTTTAATGATTTAGAACGTACTGTTAGTTTTAGTTTCAACAGTTTATTTACATGTGCTGTTACTTAAGCTTTCTCCTATTTTGACATATTAAAAAGTTGCATTTTTTGTCTTAATGTAATAAACATACTTTTATTCAACATTTACATCAGTGCATGCTGAATGTCGCCATTTGCCGGTGTAAGTGAGAAATGATGATATTTAGCAAATATTTTGTACATACACGAAACGACTGTGTGAATGCTGACAATCACCGGAGAATGTTGACATTCGCCAGATATCGGTCATTCACAGTAACATATATATATGTAAATAATTTAAAATATACAGGGTTATTCATTCACAAGTGAATACGTGCTTTGTTTAATACCTCATGATGCACATTTGAATAATAATGTAAAATATACTTTGGTCACTGTTTCATTAAATATTAATGAATTGTTCCATTTGTGTTTCATGCTCATTTTTTCATTTTATACAGAGATATTCCATATAATAAGTGTTCAGATTCAATTGAATCACCTTGTAATTAATGCTATAATTACATAAATTTGTTTCATATTTAGATTGAAATATAAAGTGAAGAACATCAGTTTGTATTTAAATCCAAACATGAAAAATAAGTTTTAAATAAATGATGATATGTTTGTTAATGATGATGAAACTAAAAATATATATATATTATTTTTTTTTCTTAGTTTTTTGTTTTACTAGTCGAGGAAATGGAAATGGTTGTAATGCAAAAGATGGAAATCCTTTTGGACCATTTTGGGATACATTCAATATTGATTTTGATAATTCTGAATTTTATTCACCATTAAATTATGATATTTACTATCGTAACATGGCAGAAAAATGGAATAAAAGGTGAGTGAAGTGAGAACTTTATTCACTGTTAAATTTGAAATATCTGAAATAATTTTCAATAATTAATTTGTAAAGGTATCCATCCGAGAAGTTTCCTGTATTAGCTTTTACTGGTGCTCCAGCTAGTTTTCCTGTGCAGAAAGAAAATCGAGATTTACATCAGTATCTTGAATGGAGTGATAACATTAAAAAGAAAGCTACTAAATTTATTAAATCAACTTTACCAACAGGTGGTTTTATTGGAATCCATCTTAGAAATGGAATTGATTGGGTAAGTATAATGTTTAATGTTAATCAAACAGTAATTCGTATAGGATTAAAATTAATACAGTAGAGCATCATTTATCCGAAAGAATTCCAGTTGGCAAATTTTAATTTTCGCTAGTGATATGGCGCTGCAATCTTTGGCTATGTCCTGGGCTAATGAAATATTTTACGTTTTTGATACTAAATTAACTTCTGAAGTATAATTTTTTATTGTTTTTATATTTTTCAATATATTTATTTTGTTTGTACAAAATAAAGAAATAATTTTTAACGATAAAATAGCCACGTTTATTATTTAAAAAAGTTTACATTAGGCTTAACATCGACGAAAATTTAATGCAAAGCGACACGCAACAGAGAAAAATTTCAGGATGGGATAGGTTAATATATTTTTCGTACACAATCGGCTATCCGAAAAATAAGTTATCCGAACAACCCCAGTCCCCAATTGATTTGGATAAATGACGTTCTACTGTATGTGCTAAACTTAAAAAAATTTTAAGCTTAAGACTATATAAACATTAGAAAAAATGCCAAACAATTGCCAGATTATATCAGGCAATAATAATGCTACTAATTACTAATTAAATGTCAAGTAATCTGGCAATTATTTAGCATTAATCTAAAAATTAGGTTAATAGATGTTTATATTTGCTTTAAAAATGTCATCACAGGTGTAATGCATTTAATTCATAATAATGAAACATTCTAAATTACAAAATATATTTTTTTAAAATAATAGAGTTCAGTGACAGTTCTTTACTAAACACAGTTCACATTGCTTTAAGCCAGTGTTTTTCAACCTGTGAGTCGGACCCTCTGGTTCGCAAAGCCATACACGGGGGGGTTGCGGGTAAAAGAAAAAGACAAGTGTTTGTAGGTCCTACACTACAATAAAAAAAAACTACAATTTCAGTGAGAAGGCTGTGCCTGTTTATTTTACAGTACAATTAGTTTTTCGATCGATATTTAAATCTCAACAGAAAGAAAATTAAATATGTAGTTTTTAAAATCACTGACATAGTTTTAATATGGCCGTGGGGGTTGCCAAAATTTTTTAACTTGTAAAGTGGTCGCCAAAATTTTTTAACTTGTAAAGGGGTCGCGTATTCAAGAAGGTTGAAAAACACTGCTTTAAGCAAATATTAAAAATGTACACAATTAGAAATGCTAACTATAAACACTATAAATTATAAAATTTAAACAAATGATTTTATCAATTTTTTAATAGTATTTATCATTTTATCTAATATCTAAAATTATTTTGAAATTGAAATTTTCAGTATTGATTCCAAGTGTTTTCCTGTTGAGCATATTTGTAAGGGGTTTTATTAAGGTTCAATGTTGATAAAGTTGTTTATAATATTATGAGCAAACTTTTTTAATATTGAACATTAATAAAAACTTATTACATTAATAAAACTTATTACATTAATAAAAACTTATTACAAATGATTCAAAATTAATTAGTATTTTTAAGTTACATTTTGAATATGTTTATAAGTGAATTTATTAATTAATAAAATTATATGTATTTCTTGTCCATCAATTATCTTAAAGGATAATATCACAAGTTGCTCAGCTCAAGGCAAATTGTACTTAATGTTTTGTTAGAAATCAACAGTAAATACAATGCTTGGAATGGAATTACTTTTCAGTAAATAATTTTCCTTTGTAGATTTGATTACTAGAGTTCTTCATTGCCAAAATATTTAATGATGAACACATAGTTAAAGTTATATAAGTTGAATCTGATTAATTTGAATTATTAGATAAATCAAATCCATTGTTATTCCCTTGAAATTTTAATTTTTTAAGTATAAATTTGAATAATTTAAAATTAGTGTGTCACATTTGGAAATGAAACTCAAAGAGAAAGTAGCGCATAGTTTAGTGGTTCATAGAATGTAATTGTAATAGTAAGTGGTTCATAGAATGTAAAATGTAAGAAACATATTTATTTTCGTGAAATGTTTTTTCAAATATTTGTTAATTAAACAGATTTTTTCTTTTAGAGTAGAGCCTGTGAACATATTCAGCACAGCCCATTATTGTTTTCAGCCCCTCAATGCCTAGGATATAACAATGAACATGGTTTTGCTACTAATGAAATATGCTTCCCATCTAAAGACACCATCTTGCAACAATTAAAGAGAGTGGTGAAAGCAGTGAAAGCTCGTTCAGTGTTTGTAGCATCAGATAATGACCATATGATCAATGCTATTAATGAAGCATTAAAGTATTTAAAGGTGAATACAAAAAGAGAAATCTTGAACACAATATAAAATTTATTATATATAAAAGTTTATAACAAATAACATATTGTTTTATTATAGGTCAAAGCTTTTAAACAAGACAATGATGATCCACATGTTGATTTAGCCATTTTGGGACAATCAAATCATTTTATTGGAAATTGTATTTCATCATTTTCTGCTTTTGCCAAGAGGGAGAGAGATGTTAACAGTTTGCCATCTTCATTCTGGGCTTTTCCAGTTGACACAAAGAAAGTGTCACCAGGAACAATTCATGATGAATTTTAACTTATCACTTTTTTATAAAAACTGAATGGCTGACATGTTAATGAGCAAATAACACTGAAACCAAGTGTAAGTAACCAATTAGAGGAGGGAATTTTATTCCTTTTCGTCAGGATAGTCTAGAGTCCTGGCATATGTGGGTGGCGGTTCTTGAGGCAGAAAAAGACAAGAGTTTACAAAAATGTTTATTGGGTCATTATATGCTTACATTCTATAGGTCTGTCCGAAAGATTTGGAGTTCATATCTTTGTCGGACTTTTGTCTTCTTAGGGTATGCCCGAGGTCAGTAATGAGTTGAGGTTTGGAGACTTAGACATGTACACAGGTTGGCAGAAAGTCAATTTCTGATCAACAATGAAATAGGAATTCTCAGCTCAAACAGGAAGTTCTTATAGTCTAATGAACCAACAAACAGATCAGACGATTCGAACAGATTGACAGATCAAACCCTTGTCCTTGGACACTTGGGCTTATATACTTTTTTGTTCTCTATTTCCTTTCCACTGGTTGGACCTTCCCTTCCTTGCTCCCTGATTGGTCTCTTACCTGTCTCAAGGTGAAAATTGAGACCAACTTAGGTTGCGAGAAAGGTCTACCCTGGGGATGGATTATCTGACACCATCCTCTTGGCTCTGATCATGATTTATCAATGACTAAGACACCTATGCTCATATTAAGTTTAAACAATTCTCTTTTCATTTTCTTTTGTCTTAAAATTTGTTTTCCATCTATTCTTTATGAGCGACAATGTCAAAGTCCAGTGTCAGTGGCTTGACACTTACATTTGTTTTCTCAATGTTTTAATAAATACATTTTTCCTTTCATTTCAGACCATTTCCAAGCCTCACACAAGTGTCTAAAATAAATTGCTCCAAGTACAAAATTAAAAATCCTATTAAAAGATAACTGTATTTTATTAATTAAAATGTGAGAATGTTTATTATACCACCTAAGAAAATAGATCCAATTCCATCCAAAATCAAAATTCTTCTATATAGGTTTTGATTTCTTTGAGTGGATGTATGGTTAATACATTAAGATTTACACTTTTGATGTTATTTGTTTACTAGCATTTCAAATTAATTGTTAATATATTACTTACTGTATATATATTTTTATAAATAAAGTGCATTTTTTAAATAGTTTGATAAATTTTTACAATAGTTTCACTTTTATGAATAATAATTAATTGCAATAGATTGGTTTCAAAATTTTTTAATTTATTAACTTTTTAAAGAGAATAAATTAGAAATTAGTCTGAGATTATTTTATTTATGAGGTATTCATACTATCTTAAAAGTATTCTTCTCATTTTTGCAGCAATATATGTCACATCTCACTAACAACAACAACAGTATTTAAATTCATTCTATTTTCTGTTGTCATTTTAATTATTTCTAGGTGTTCAAAGTTTTCTTTTGATGATGATTTTTCTTTTTTAAGAATTTTGATGTTACCAAGTGAGATCTCACAATCAGCATGATTGCAATAGTATATTATGCAATTAGTTTTATAATATAGGAAATTATGGCATGAGTGGAAGTTTGGCCCATTCGCTCTGCTCGTGTGCCAATTTTCATGAATGCCATAATTGCTAATTATAAATGAATTGTCATACGTTATTTTGTGGTTAGACTACACCTATAACTTATTGAAATCAAAATCATGTATAAACACAGTCTTTGTGTCATCCTTGCCATAAATACTGTTTACAGGATTTTGAGTTCCATAAGTATAGTGTTATAAGTGTATTCAACCACAAAAACATGTTATTTATGTCTTACATACATATATAAGAAATATTTGTCTATTAAAAGTATGTAATAGTTTACCATTAATATTTTAACATCCATTTTTCTATTTTTTAATCTAAGAACTACATATCAGACTAGAATTCCTAAATATTGATACATTCTTAGAAATTAGTATGACTGAGACTGCAAGATGCCTCAACCTGATGCCACATACAGTACTGACTACTGCTTATGTTATAATAATGTATATAGCATATTAACATATGTTATATAACAACAAATTATTATAAAAACACAATATTACAATTTAAGTTTAGTAATTAAAACAATAAAATTAAATATTGTTAACATTTCAAAATTATAATTCAAAAAACCAACAATTATACTGATTAGGGAAAAAACATAGCAAAAAAAAAAGGAATATTAATCTAAATATATAAAATTACTTGTCCTGACTGACTGACTGAGTGATTGATTCATCATTGCCCAGAGCAAACCACTGAACCTAAAAAGGTGAAATTTGGTACACAGGGTATGTCATGAAAACGCACACTAAGAAGAGATTTTCAAAATTCCCCTGGGGGGAGAGGAAGAGCATTAAGGCTTAACCTGAAGAACAGCTTATACTGTACTATTTTAGATGTGATTTTTTGTTTTCAACTATGTTTAGTCTTCATTGAGTACTTAGTGTATTAAATTGATAACATTTAAGACATTGTTATAAATATTTTTATATATTTCAATTTTTTAACCAAATGTTCGAACCAAACATTTTAAATTCAGATTTGTTATTGCATATTGATTTGATTATAGAATGATTGTAAACATTCCAGAGAATTGATCAAACTGAAAATAGTTTGTTTGATTCTCAGCAATTCTCATTGTTCTCAGTGGTAGGTGTTATATAACAATTACTATGGTTGTTGAAATACTGAATATAAATGGGGTTTGCTTGCAAAATCTGCATGGGCAAAGTCACGGGTAACAGCTAGTCTTACTATGAAATTATATAAATAAAGCTCTACTTGAGAACTGTTGAGATAGACATTAAGATTAAAGATTATAAATCAATAAATATCCAATATTAACAGTACATAATGTACTGTACTTGTACGCTGTGTTATTAGAATAGTGTAAGTAAAAACTTTCTAGTAATATCAGTTAATAGACAGTTAATAGTAAATGGTATTGGCTTCAGGAAGTTATATTGTTTGTAATCAATCAAATGGATATAAAATGTCAGAGTTTAGAATATTATTAATTGCATTTTAAAGATAAAAATTCAGCAATTTAACCAGAAATTCTAAAAATACTTTTGTACACTTAAATGAATAGCATTAGAATTTTTTTTATCTATTAATTGAAACTGTCAATATCTTTGCATCAGGAGGAACATTTATATATATAATCGAGATGGATTGATGATGATAATAAGTGCAGAGCCCAAACAGTCAGGAGTTGAAAGTTGAAATTTTGTACACAGTTACGGTATATCATGAGAATGTACACTAAGAAGGAATTTTTCGAAATCCTCCTGCAGGGAGAGAGGAAGAGTTAAGGATTATCCTGAAGAACTCCACTTCCACTGTACTATTTTATATGTATTTCTGCAGAAAATTGAACATATTTTTAGACCCATCTAAAAATTCTCTAATTAGTCTTGGATGAGGGAGGACCTAATTCTTGCACCCAGTGAAAATGGGTAAGATCAGCTATAATCTATTAATCTTAATTTTCACTATTGTTACTTTATGCCCAAGCAGTACTGGGGTCATCTGCTAGTTTAAATATAAAATTTGTTTAACAGTCTGTTGAAAAAATGTTAAATTCCTTACAGTAAATATGCCAGACAAACAAATGGAATGAAAACATTACATTTTTTTACAAAAAACTACTTAATTACTTATGACTAATGAATAGGTTCATTATACACCCAGCCTATTTAATTAACTTAACTAAAATTCATTTTGGCCTTACTTTTCCTTATCAATTGGATGAAATACAAAAATCAGAATATATGGTGACAATTGCCAACATTACAATATATATTAATACTACAATTATTATAAATTATTACATACACCTTATTAATAGGATTCTAAATTATCACTAGGACAGTAATGCAACAATACTAAACAAGTCCAGTAAAAACCTTGTGAAAAGTCCTATCTTCTTTATGATTATAATAATTTTTCTATACTTCAGTCTCCATCACATTTGATAGGTATGCTTAAATTTCCTTTTCAATTTTCATTTAAAAATAAAAATCAAAAAAAGGAAATTTAACCAGCATATCTATCAAATGTGATGGAGACTGAAGTATAGAAAATTACTATAACCATAAAGAAGATAGGACTTTTTACAAGGTTTTTACTGGACTTGTTTAATATTGTTGCATTACTGACCTAGCAATAATTTAGAATCCTATTAATAAGGTTTATGTAATAATTTATAATAATTGTAGTATTAATATATATTGTAATGTTGGCAATTGTCACCATATATTCTGATTTTTGTATTTCATCCAATTGATAAGGAAAAGTAAGGCCAAAATGAATTTTAGTTAAGTTAATTAAATAGGCTGGGTGTATAATGAGCCTATTCATTAGTCATAAGTAATTAAGTAGATTTTTGTTACTAAATAATACAGGCAAGAAGCTTTTTAATATATTACATTTTTTGTTTATCTTCCTGTTCCGGTAAAATTTATACTAGAAAAGCAAATAAATTATTGTTTTGTAAATGTTCTTACCAAAAAAAAATGAATGTTTTCATTCCACTTTTTGGTAAAATCAATGGCAGTCAGGATTTAATCTTGGGGAAGCAGAGTTGAACAGATAAAAAAAAGTTTCTAATCCAAATTAAATAAAATTTCCAGCTTATGTGACTACTAATTCATAATTAGTATAAAATTAGAAGACATTACACAATACAAATAAAAAATAATAGATAATAAAAAATAAAAGATTTTTGGAAAATTTTCTAGTGTTTGTTTTCCTTTTTCATTGGAGGATGCCAGGGCACCATGGCCCTCCTGGGTGTGCTACTGGGTAAAAATATTTAAAAATAACAACTCATTTGCTTTATGATATATTTTAGAGGAAAATGAGAAGCATACTGATACAAGATGTTACAGTTCTATATACAGTTATTTATAAAATGAAAACAATATATTATTGTATTTAAGATAAGGCAATTAGAATTTTAATCTGGAAACAAAAAATTATACATCTTAGAAATAAGAATTAAATTGCAATTCCATTATAAATAAGATGTGCAAATTTTTATATTTTTCTAGAATTAAATTAATTTTTAATAATATTTTTCAATATTCATCACTAATAAGGGGAAAATATTTCAATTAAGTTTTGCAGTATATAATAATTCAAATCTAACTGAAACAATAATAATAATAAATTTTAATAAGGACTTGGAGGAATGTTTTACAAAATATTTCTTAAATTTATATTATTTTATTTTTGATGTAAAAGTTTCTATAATTGTGTTACATGAACCAGACCTTGAAGTTATTGACCTTACTGGAAAACTTAAACCAGGTCATTACAAGTGTCATTTATTGTTACTTTACCTTTCTAGGTTACAAATTGGCAATATCTTCATCAGG